CATTATTGTCGTTGGCGGCGCGTATGGACTTGTCGCTGGTTTTGATTATCTCACACAGCGCCAAATCATCGAACAGGTTTCTCTCACTCTCCACATGCATGATATTGATATAAATGTGTCTATATATAAACACACATACACAGAATACCTTCTAGTCTTGTACGATTGTATCCTCCGTAGGTCACCGGAATCCAGACAGACACTGTCTCCTGCAACTGTAGATCTTCACATGGATTATATCGCGCCCGGTTTCTTGGGTTCTGTAATTTACCTCTTTTCCCCTTGTTTATTCACCAAATTTAATTCAATCTTCTATATTATTAGCTTCAAGTTTTATAATCAATCTTGAACATAATTCAAATTATTGGTTCAATTAGTAAAATGAATGACATTCTAATATAAATTATGAAATATATCCACCGATTTTGGTATTACTGTTTATGTAAATCGTACTCTGGACACTACTTTCACCTTTTCAGAGCCTGTTTTAGTGGCACCTTACTTTTTGCTCATTGACAATTATTTGGGTCTTTTCATTTCACTTCAACTACCACTAATGTTATAACAATTCGTCACTGATATAACGATTTGTCCCACACTAATAGTGAAATAAAAGTTTCTCACACTGTGTTACCAATAACTTTTCAATCATGATTTTAAGTAAAAATTTAAGCTGATACAAGGGTAAAAATGGAATTAATTGTAATAAGTACATGCATTGAAAGATCAATGTTTTGGAACCTTGGGAGTATTAAGTACAAATCTTTTAAAGTCAATTGTGGTTAGCAAGTTTTTAAGTCTATTGACAACCTTAGTTATTCTTATGTGTGGTTAACAACAGCAACGTATAGCTTTTAAAACCATAACTTTTGGTAGGTGTCATATGGTTCCCTACAAAGTATATGTGGGGATGGGGCTAGGGTTAGATAGGCAGGGACCTTGTAATATAAAAAAGATTAAATTAACTTAATTAACTTGATTTGTTTGGTATGATTAAATTGAACCCACAAAGGAATGGAATGAACAACGTAATAGAATGGGTTGTTAACGTAATAGAATGGGTCGTTACATTCCATTATTATTATTATGTTTTGTTGGTTGGTTTGAAGCCTTGAAGGAGTATAGTGAGTTATTCAAAATGTTGTTTGTTATGCTTAAGTAGACACATGAACGAAATTAATTGATAAATAAAAAATAAAAGAATGTTTTATGAAAAAGAAACTCCAATCTCTTGTATATTCCTTTCAGAACCTAAGCAGAAAGCTGGTTCATATATTATCTGGATTGCTTTACATGGGTTGCTGGCCAATCTTCAGGTATTTTTTAAATTTCCCCAAATTTTTTTTTTTCTAAAAAATGGAGTTCAACCAATTGACATTAAATCCTAGATTAGTACTTCTACAGATGCTCGGTATTTTGCGGTTATAGCGCCGTTATTGAACTGCACTAGGCTTCTTGTTCATGGTCTTTCACTCGTCCCCAATGAAGACCTCATAAAATCAGTCACCCGTGAAGGAAAACCGGAGTAAGATCTCATTGTCCTCAATTAATGTTTTTTTTTTTCATAAATTTGGCCCAAAATTTAAAACGATTTGATGGCAGGGAATTGCTTAGGGGACCACTATATTATGTTTTGATGTTGATTCTATCTTCTCTTCTCTTCTGGCGTGACTCACCAATCGGTGTGGTTTCACTATCCATGATGTGTGGTGGCGATGGTATCTTCTCTCGCCCTCAGTGTGTTCACTTCTTTACATGATAACACAAATCAGATTGTACTGTGTTTGACATGACTTTTATAGCCTGAAAAGTTTATTTAGTCATATCATGTCATGTCCTGTAGGTATTGCAGATATCATGGGGAGAAGATTTGGGTTGCATAAAATTCCTTACAACAAACAAAAGAGTTGGGCGGGTAGTATCTCTATGTTTCTGGTCGGTTTTTTAGTCTCGGTTGGGTACGTGACACCCCTTTTTTATTGCGATGTTTTATGGGTTAGATCAGGGTAATTGACTAATTTACCCTTGTATATAGGATGTTATACTACTTTTCAAAGTTGGGGTACTTTGAGCTCGATTGGTTAAAGACAATGGAACGAGTTGCAATGGTTGCGATTGTGGCAACATTGGTTGAGTCCCTCCCGACAAAAGGAGGTCTGGATGATAACATATCTGTTCCTTTGGTAAGCATGCTAACAGCTTATTTGAGTTTTGGGTTTTAAGTTTAATTATAAGTGTTATTTTTTAAAAAAAATTGGATGTAAATGCTTCCTTTTTGTTGTGTGATAACTGTTGAATAAGGAACGTTGGAATAAGTCTGTTGTAATCTTTTTTACCGATGTAGTAAATGTAATAAATTAAAATTCAAAGGAAACATCAGCGAGTTGTTGCTCGCGTGGGTATTTTGGGTTTAAACAGATCGGTTTTTGTCAATTACACGTGTTTTCTTTGGTTGGGTTTTTTATTTGCTTTAAATTTCATCCTGTTTTAGTTATTTACGGTTTTAGGTTGGCTTTCTGTCTTTTCACATCCCTATTAATAAAAAGGATTTAGCAATCATAATTAAACTCTAATTTGTTTGATCAAATTTTAGTCAAATTAAGGTGACTAACTAAACAAACTTTAGGTTGTCTCGACTGAAATCCTAGTCAGATAGTCTCGTGTAGTTTGTCCATATCTACTTGCTGATCTTTGTAGATACCAAGAGCCAAGATGCCTTTACTAACTACTGTCGCTTTTGTTGTCAAGAGCTCGTGTTCGGATTAAAATAAAGAAAAATTAAGAAACTTAGCTGACACAAAAACAGATGATGATATTAATTACAAATAAGGAATGAAATCGGTTCTAAACCAGACCAAATCGAAAAACCCAAAACCAAATTTTATCATTTTGGGAGACTGAGTTGTTGCTTGGAAACAAATTTTAAAGAAACAGTCCTATTTAAGGCTTTGTAACTCGGTCATTTATCAAATATAGACAAAAGGCAAAAATTAAAAAAAATGGTACACTATTTTCAGAAATGTCCTTATAATTTTGTGTTTCATGCAATTACATGATTGGTCCCTGTTTAATAGGAAAATTTACAGAAATGGTCTATATGTTTCATAAAGGTACATAAATGGTCCCTGCTTAATAGTGAATTTATAGAATGTGTCTCTATGTTTCACAAGATTACAGAATGGTCCATGTGTTTCACAAAATTATAGAAATGCTCCCCGATTTAGTTGAAGCATTATGTCCATGTTTTTATAAATTAAACAAAAATGGCCTGTCTAATAAGGAGCTTACAAAAATGATCCATATGTTTCACAAAGGTACAAAAATGGCCTGCCTAATAAGGAACTTACAAAAATGATCCCTGCCTAATAGTGAAATAAAAAAAATGGTCCTTGTATTTCACAAAACTAAAGAAATTGTCTATGCTTAATAGCGGAATTTACCCACATGATCCCTGTGAGTGCCCTACAGAAATAGACCTTGTGTAATAGACCAAACAGACCATTCCAAAAATGTTGTATATGATTGATAAACATGCCACAATGGCACAACATGTGGGGCTAATTGTTTCTAATTAATAAAGGTGTGATGGTGTACAATTTATATGTATCAAGATTATATTTTAATAATGGTATGACTATGATACATACAAATTATTAATTATAAATATATCCAACAGGTAACCTTCGTTTTTGTGCAGTGGCGGAGCTAGAAATTTTTATGTAGGGTACAAAAATTATCAATAAATATTCTATGTAGTTATCATATTCGAGGCATTAAAAAATATGATATAATCTTTTAGTTGGGAGTACAATAACATAGAACATGTTTACAAATAAATTTTTTTATATACATAAAACATTTTTTTTTTGGGTGTTGTAGTACTCCCAACGCTCCATCTGGCTCCATCACTGTTTTTGTTTTTGTGAGGGAAGGTTACTGTTTTTGTGAGTCTTCATCCACAATGTACAAGTATAGCAATGCATAAATTACATATTTAGTACTTCCATTTTATATAATACATCACTTACAACCCTTTATTTTGTAAATGTTAATTTCATCCCTCAACTTTTTCTAATTTGTAAATACATTTTATACCCTTCTATTTTAAAATGTTATTTTCACTCTTTTAACTTTGAACTCTAATCATTATTGTCACTTGCATTTTATAAACTTTTGTGTTTATCTCATATAGTATATATAGTTTGATTTTCTTTAATAACTTTTGTTCGTTAACTTTCAAGATATGATTTGTTTTTATTATGTATGTATCAGTATAAATTAAAGGTGGTCAATGTTTGAATGTATTCCAATACGAGATTGTCTACGTTTCGATTAATTTTTTTTGTATGTTTTTGTGTTTATTTTTATATACGCTTCTTACATATGAATCAGGTCATATAATACATTTTCTATTATTTGAATTTTTTTCGTTAATTAAAAAAATGTACTTGTTGCAACAAAAACATGTAAAAACTCGCAGCAAAGCGTGGGCTTAAATACTAGTTCTATACAATTTGCAACATGATGAATATTAAGTTTATTGTAATTTTAATCAGTACATATATTATTTATGAGTGTTGTATGTGGCGTTTTAAAATAAAAAGCCTGGTCTACCGATAATGCCTTTTCCTTCACATTCACAAGGTTTGGAGTTTACTTTTCATTAACCTCAATTTTTAACATGCCTTTGCCTTGCATTCACAACACTAGCCTACAACTTTTCCTAATTTAATCTTTGCTTCATGCTATTATGAAGCTTTCATTTAACTAATACATGCATCCCAAAACACCAATTACACCTCAAGGCAACATATCCAAAACATTGTTTATGGATGGACCCCACACATTTTTCGTGTATAGGCTTTGCAAATTCGTATTTTGCATTTATTCGTGTTGACACAAATTTCAAATTCGTATTTCGTGTCTTAAACAAGCAGACACTAAGACACACATATAAGACACAAATAATTTAGTTAAGTAGCATGCTACTTTTTGATTTTAGCATGTGGTTATCCGATTAATGTGAAGCTCGTAAGAACAAGTTATGGTTGTTCAAAGTTGAGCAAAAAATTATGCAAAATGCTGGAAACAAGCCTTAACAGCTCTTGTTTAGGGTTGTGTAACACTGTAACTTGGTAAATTTTTAACTAATTAAGGTGATTCAAAAGCCCTGCAGCCAAGACATGGAACTAAGGAATGCAAATGGCAACAACTCATTAAGAGAACATTTTGGTTCATATAAATTATAAATGTGTTAGCTTTTTACTGAGTAAAATCTTTGACAGCAAGAGGTTCATACCACTGAGGACCAAATCCAGCAGCTTTTCTTGCTGCCTCATTGAAAGGAGGCTTCAATGGCCCTCTGAAATATTCCCTCACAATTTCATGGAATTTCTGAATCACTTCATCACTTTCTTCATCAGCACATGAACATGAAGATGATCGTGACCACAGATACTTGAACCACTTAACTCCAGCAGCACAATGAGTGATTTCTTCAGGGTAAATCACCTTCTCAAGCAAATCAGCAGTCTGGTTGTCACCTCCATTACGAAATCGGGAGATGGTTGTAGGCAGCACATCCAGTCCTCTTGCCTGTCATTCATGATCAAAAACTGGGTAAAGAAGAAGAGAATAATGGAGGAAAGATAATCATAATGTAAGATCAGGGGCACCTCATGAACACAATGCTCAACTGCAAGACGTGCAAATAGGTCTTTTGATGTAGCAACAGCTGAGTCCCACAAGCCATCATGAGCAGGGAGTGCTCCGTAGAAAGACCCCAATTCCTGAAGCCGGGTGGCAAGAAGACTGAAATGACGACCTTCATCTTGTGCAACTCTTACAAAATCATTGAAGAACTCTCTTGGCATTGACTCTTGTTTACCAAAACGTGCAATTATATCCTGTTTCAAAGTTAGATGGATCTTAGCTCTTAGGATTAACAAAATAAAGAAAGACCAATGTGCAATTGTATCCTGTTTGAATCGGCAACAACTATCAATTACAAAAGCACATAGCAATCCAGGAATTTTAGTATAAAGAACTGTCTAAAAAAAAAGGAATACCCAGGACAAATCAATGGCCCAACTTTCAGTGTGAACAAGGCTGTGCACGATGGCCTGTCTGCTCTGTAAGCTTCCGGCTTTCCCAAGCTTCGGCATAAGACTAGGCGACACTAGCTTCACCTGCATAATAAACCATCCACGGGAATTAAGTCTGCTCTAAATCAGTGAGGCATATTATCAAACACTTGGCGTGCTTCCATGATAACTCAAAATCTGCAAAACAGAAATGATGAATGATTCTGACTGTGTGAAAGGCTAACATTGGAGAGTCTGGCAGGGCGGTCTGGGACGATGATATCAGGCTGAGAAGGGTGGTAAGGATTTGCAATAACACCTTGGAACCAATTGTTTGCTATTTCATCTCCAAGTTTCGCTTTCTCAACTGGGTCTGCTGTATTCAGCACACGCAGCGCAGCTTCCACAAGGGTTTCTCCATCGTTCATCTCTCTACCTTGCAGCTGCAGTTCTTAGGGCTTTGTTGATCACAGTTAAAATGTAAGGTTGAATTTGTTCGTCAGTCAAAAGAACGAGGGACGAGGGTTGTTAGATCCGGACTTGTAAATATATATGGTCGTTTTCTCGTTTGCTAGGGATGTTATCGGATAAAATTTTCAGGTTTCGGGTAATTCGGGTATTACCCAATTTTTAATTTTTATTTTTATTTTTAATGACACCTATAAATAAATGTAATGATATAAGTATGTCGTGCTAAACTTTGAACATTGAGGTTTTTTACTCAATAATATTCGAGATATCAAGTATTCTTTCCAAACTTTCGATTTTGGGTTGAATTTTTTTTTTCTCTTTTTCTTGTGGACTTGATCATTGGTTGGGTTGTCAACTTCAATCGTCTCATCTTCTACTTTAATATAGTCATCCATTGGTGACGAATACCAACGAAGAGCGGACGAGGTATGAGGGTTTTTTAACGTGGGGAAAATAGAACTAGCCTCAACGAGGAAATTGGGATTTGGAAATTTGGAGGGATAGATAAACTCATAAAATGACATTATTTGTTATATATATTTCGGGTAATCGGGTATACCTGAAACCCAAACAACTTACCCTTTACCTGACTCGAAACAAAATTCAGATTACCCACTTACCCGAAAAAATTAACCTGATACCCGGTTTACCCGATCCCATTTACTCGATACCCAAAAAATCGGGTGGATAATTCGAGTAACAAGTATTTTTGACAGGGCTACAAGATTTTAATCTTAAAATCAAATCGGAAAAAAGTTAACAATAAATACTTTAAAACATAAAAAATATATTTATAATACATTATTTAAGGATAAACAATTTAAAATGAGTATTCTACCAAAAAAATGATCAAAGTAAGATCGGGATCGATTTACTTTGGTGTGATCATAAGATTGCACGATCCTATAATTAGAATTGCAATTTTAACAACCATAAAATGAACTAATAAGGTTAAACTTTAACTTGATTTTCTTATAATTTCATAGTTAGTTTTAAATGTATTCTTAAGATCGATTTTAATAAAATAACCGTTTATATATTTATATATATATATATATATATATATATATATATATATATATATATATATATATATATATATATATATATATATATATATATATATAACAACATATTTAAAGCATTGTAAAATTAAAAAGAATTTTATAATTTGTTAAATCAAAATATTATATTTACTCAACCAAAAATCAAAATATCATATTTACCATTTATAAAATTTAAAATATCATATTTACTTTTTAGAAAATCAAAATATAATATTTTATTAAAATCTTATTTTAAACATATTAAAAAAAACAAATAATCTTTTTAAATTAATATATTATATCAATTTACTATTATACCATCTTCATAAATTATAAATTCAACTTCAAACGCTCATCTAAAAGAATGTTGATTGAAGTGATTTTGAAACAAGAATGGTGGTTATTTGTTTGAGATCTCTGCATATAATATCAACAATTTTGCTTGGGCTTTGAGTGTGAGGGAGAAAAATTTAGAGTGTGTTTGAATTGAATTTGTTATTAAATCTTGTAACACTTTAACAAGTAGTCGATTTTACAAATTGATTTCACAAAGATTGAATTATTGGACATTTACTTTATTACTTTTGAGTAGGATTTAATGTTATCAAATTTCAAAGCAAGAGAGTTGCATATGTAATTTTGATTACTCAGACTGTTTTGAGATGTTTCGCAATCACAACGAGCACATTTGGTTTTGTTCTAAAAATATCTCAGTCAAATTTTTAGATGAGATTTTGAAGTTCAATGAATCAATCAATGTTGGGGAATTTATGAAGAGTATAATATGATATTTTGAAGTTTATGGAAGGTCCAACTTACCTTCATCCCTAAACAAACCCTAATCCATTTTGAGCATTATTGAGCTTTGTGTGTGTTTTTTGGTCACCTTGAAGGAGAGAGGAAGAAGATAAGAACATCTTGGAGGAGTAGGACTCTTTGGATCCAGAATCTCATCACCAATTGTCATCACTTTGAGGTAAAAAGATTTGAACTTGGTAAAGCTATGTATAGATCTAAGTTAGCCATGAAATTTGTGTCCTTTTGGTCCCATTACTTGGGTATTTTGCGTATAAGCTACTCTAATCCATTTAAGTTGTCCTTTCAGACGTTTTGAGGTGCTTTGAAGCATAAAAATGTGGTCTTGATCATTTTTTGTCTTCCATGCATGTGCTACAAGTTCTTAATGGGTTAAGTAGTTAAGGTTTTTAGGGGTCGTTTGTTTACCTCTTAATTGTAAAATTAAGAGGCAGTGTCTTAAAATTTCAGATTTAGAGCGTTTGTTTACATATTATATTTTACCTCTTAAACTTAAAAATACCTCTTATTTTTTCAGATGTTAAAGCAAGTCTGAAAAAAAAAAAAAAAAAAAACACGCGTTCCTTCGATTTGCCCTAAATTGACCGCCTCTTTCTTTCCTTCCCACACCGTCTCCTGCTGTAACAACCCAAAATTTAGGATCAAAAATTTCTTTTAATAAATCATTAATTAAAGTAAAGCCATCATTCCAAAACATAATATGAGTATAAGTTTTCAAAACACATGTTCATTATCAGAGTAAACATTCCCAGGCTGTCTAATCTATGGTGTGTGTGCCATGCGATCACCCCGAGCTCTTCCCTCCGTTACCGGAAGTACCCGAAACCAAAACCGAAAACCGTAAGCACGAAGCTTAGTGAGTTCCCCACCCTACCACATACCACACATAACCACATACTGCACATACTGGGCCACGCCCACTATCTTGGGCCTCGCCCCTACCGCGGGCCTCGCCCGCTACAACGGCCCCGCCGCTCCAGGCCTCGCCTGGCTTCGAGCCCCGCTCGGATACAGATCTGTTTTACTTAGGCCCCGCCTGTCACAGGGCCTCGGCCGCCAACAAATAATAACACATAAACATTTCACAACACATAACTAACACATAAAACTGGTTCTGTCCTAAGGCCTCGCCTATCCTGGGCCTCGCCCATGTCCTGCTACTGATGAGTCATGGGACCCTGTCCACGCTCCTAATGGTAGTGAGGTACGGGCCTAGCCCACTCTCACTCCTGTTCTTGTTTGGGCCTCGCCCCTATTCTGCTACTAATGAGATATGGAACCCCATCCACACTTTGCTATTGGTGAGATACGAGACCTCGTCCACACTCACCTCCCTACCAGGCACATACATGTATCACACAGACAACAAGTATAAACTATCATATAAACAATTCCTTGGGCACCCGCCCGCTATTACTGGACCTCGTCCTGCAAATAATACTAGCATACTGTGCCTAGGGCTAATCCCCGGGTCTTCTACTCGTAACTACATGGGCCGGCATTGTGACCTTAGACCCATTCACACAAAGGGAAACTCACCTGCACTGGCTGAACTTGCTGATGATCTCACTAGTTGCTGCCTGACAACTCACAGAACTCCTGCTCCCCTTGCTCCCCGAACTACCAATATCAATGCAACACTGAGTCTAACTGACCCCCGAAAGACAACCAAGTCCACCCTGGTCCAAGGTCAAAGTCCGGGTCAAAGTCAACCTTCCAGGTCGACCCTACTCGCCGAGTCACCCTACTGACTCGCCGAGTTCAAATGATCAGATTCCTTCCATTCGCGACTCGACTCGCCGAGTCAGTCCATGACTCGCCGAGTCTACCGATTTCTGAGTCCAGACCTGTCCAACTCACTGAGTCTCCACCCGACTCACTGATTCGAGTCACAACCCGAAGGGTTTGGGGTTTCGCGACCTGACTCGCCGAGTCCAAGAACAGACTCGCCAAGTACAAGGCAATCTTCATACGACTCGACGAGTTGTTCATCCCATTCGTCGAGTTTCTCCACAACTTCATGCTACTCGCCGAGTCCACTCAAAGGACTCGCCGAGTCCCTTCAGTTCTCCTTACATGCAGAGGACTTCTGAGTCATGCATGGAGTCCAAACTATAGATCTACCCTTCCCAAGCCTATTCCTTACGTAAAGTTGCAATCTTTACGTGTAGAGAAGGAGATCTAGGCAAAACATGCCAAAAACTAGGTTTTAAGGCCAAGGGGCTTCAAAAACGACTTAATGGCTGATACTTTATGCTTCTCCAGACCATAACACACTTGGATTTGAAGTAGCAACTCCAGATCCGACTTCTAACCCATAAGGGTGGCTAATCATGCTTAAAAGCCCCAAAACTCACAACCAAAATTAGATCTAAGGGAAGGAAATGACTTAGTACCTTCAATACTTCAGAAAGGTTCCACAAACTCCAGATCTGAAGCAAATCCTTGAAGCTTCACTGATTCCCCTGCTTCTTCTTCCTTCAAATCACCCAAAAATAGCTTGGAAGCTTGAATGCACAACAATGGAGGCTTAGGCTTCGTTTTCTGAACAAGGGGGGCTCTAAGGAACCCTAATGGAGAGAATAAGGAGCTTAAATAGTGCCCAAAGTCCCGGATTTAGGGTTTTCCTCGCACAGACCAGACTCGCCGAGTTGGCCACTTACACCTTGACCTGGATCCCGCTCGGACTCACCGAGTCCCTCCTTGGACTCGCCGAGTCGACCCTTAAATTAGGGCTTTTCTTTCCTTTCTTGGCCTTTGAAACTTTGGGTGTTACACCTGCCATCGAGATCTCCCCTCCAGGTCCGACGCCTGCGATTCTCCCACCGATTGCTCCCACCGACGAAGCCAGTGACGCCGCCAGCAACGTCGCCACCAGCTCCGATTTTCCTTCCACCAACTGCAGCAGGTTTGTTTTTTCGTTCTGTTTCTTCCTTTCTTCCTTCCGCCTGCGATTGTTCCTTCTTTCCCTTCAAAATTGAAAGTCAAAAATCGAATTCATTATGCTATAATTTTCTGATTTGTTAAATCAAAATTAATAGTTGATGTTTTACTCCATTATGATGTTATATGCTTCATTATGTTGTTATATGTTGGGTAGTTGTAACGACCCAATTTTTCACGTCCGAAAATTTTGTTTAAAAACATTACTTTAGAAAACATTAATAATTAGAACATTGTTTGATCAAACCACAACACAACGCAAATCATGTTCAAAAGCCAAACCATACAACCCATCAAAATATCAGAGTACAAATCCCAGTGAATCTCGTAAATGCGGAAACCAGAGTGTGTGCATGATGTGCCGCTACCGCGCCAGCTCCTTCCCCTTCGGTGAATAGGTACCTGAACACAAAACTGTAAAACGTAAGCACAAAGCTTAGTGAGTTCCCCCACTGTACCACATACCACATAATCACATAACATACATAAATTTGTCAGGCATATCTGGGTGCCCGACCTACCCCTTCGGTCCTCTCGACCGGATACTGCCTAACATATCTGGGTGCTGGCCTCCCCTTCGGTCCTTTCGACTGGATACTGCCTAGCATATCTGGGTGCTGGCCCCCCCTTCGGTCCTTTCGACCGGATACTGCCTAGCATATCTGGGTGCTGGCCTCCCCTTCGGTCCTTTCGACCGGATACTGGGGACTATTTCACCCCTACTACTGCCACATAACACATATATCACATAGTCTAGCAACCCTATATGAATATCACAAAGACAATCATCTAATCACACATCTCCTACTGGTGGGCCGACATTGTGGCCTTAGACCCACCGCTATTGGAAGGTAACTCACCTCAAAGTAGCTGCTGAACTGATCGGAAACTAACTGACTGCTGCTGCTCCGGAAATCCTCTGGTTGCAATTCCCACAACATACTCAATCAAACACTGCTAACTGTCCTTTGGGTAAAATAACCATTTTACCCCTGGTCTAGCTCTAAGTCAAAGTCAGAGTCAACTTTCAGTTGACCCGACTCGCCGAGTTGGCTCTCCAACTCGTTGAGTCCCTATCAGACGATTGTCCTGAGTCCCTGTTTCTACTCGTCGAGTTAGGCTATGACTCGACGAGTTCATCTTCTAAACTGACATTCAACCCCTTCATCCTACTCGCCGAGTTGTATGAACAACTCATCGAGTTCATCTTCATCCGAAGAACACTTATGCTAAGACTCGCCGAGTTGTATGAACAACTCGTCGAGTCTGTTCTTGATCTATGAAGATTGCCTTAGACTCGTCGAGTCAGGGCATTGACTCGCCGAGTCCTAACATGGGTGAGTTTAGCTTCCAACTCACCGAGTCACCCCCTGTGACTCACGGCTCAAACTCGATACATCATAAAGGGACCAATTCGGTGACTCGCGACCAGACTCGCCGAGTCACATATACGACTTGCCGAGTCGCCGCCATGCATCCACCAAATACACCGATTTGCTCGATTCCAGTCCATGCCATTCACAGATCTGGGCTTCTAGGACACAAATCACACGTAAAGTTTCCAACTTTACGTGTAGATATTCACCAATATGGATTTTAGGGCTCAAAGTGCACCAAAAGAGGTAGATCTAGGGCTTTCATGCAATATGACCCCATAAAGGCATTAGATCCAAGCTCCAGGGACTAAATCATGCCTAGATCTAAAGGCTATCAACTTATTACAACCCACAAAGCACAAACAAGCTTGGGGAAAAGCTCAAGAAGGACTTCTATGAAGCTAAAAGAGATTACAAACTTGAAAACAGAGGGGAAACGAGCTATACCTCCAGGAAAACGTTGAGATGACACAAAGATGCCTGGCCTCCTTCTCCTCTTCTTGATCTACTCTTCTTTCTCCTCAAAATCTTCAAGAACACACCAAAACACTTCAATCTCTCAAGGAAATAAGGGTATAAACGATGTTGGGAGCTCTGGGGGTGAATGGGGGGGGGGGGGGAGTTTGGGGCGGAAATGAGGGTTTAAATAGGGTGCAAACCCTTGAAATTTAGGGTTTCATCCAGCAGCCGTGGCTCGCCGAGTCCATGGTATGGACTCGCCGAGTCGCCAACTTAAACGTGTCCCGAGTCTCGTCCCTACTCGGCGAGTCGGACCTATGACTCGCCGAGTCCAAGGCTAAAATGGGGAAATACCCAAATAAGATTTACATACCGGGAACCAGGTGCTACAGTAGTGATGTTATATATTTCAATTTGAATGTGTTCAATAGATACGATCAAATATTGATGCTGGAATTTGATGTTATGTTTGATTCAATGTTGATGCTGAATTTAGATGTTATATGCAGAATTTTGATGTTATATGCTGAATTTTGATGTTCTATGCCGAATTTTAGTGTTATTTTGATGTTATGTCTAATGTTTTCATGAGTATTATGCTGAAATTTTGTTGCTGAATTCTTACTTCTCTTTGATGTTCATGAAATATCCATTACTTTTGCTATCGTGCATTTGTTTTGTTGAAGTAGTTATTGATAATGTGCCTTTATATTTTTTAAATTGTTGTTGAAAATGTGTATTTGCAATGTTGAACTTGTTAAAACATACATTTTTTTGTTGAATTGATCAAAGCAATGGGAGAAAAGAAGGATAGGATTAGTTGGAAGGTTGAAGATGTAGAAAAAACGTTTCTAGAAGCTTGTTTACGTGAAGTTACGGTTAATGGAAGGGAAGGGAGTAGTTTGAAAGCATTATCTTGGAGGAATGTTGCTGAAACATTAAAAATTGAACATAACTTCATTGTTGACCAAAAACAAATGAAGAACCGCTATGACTACCTAAAGTCAAAATTTGGTGCTTTTTTGAAAAAAGCAAAAAAAAGAAAGACTACGGATACGACAAAGAGTCAAAATAAAAGTAAATATAAAGGCAAAGATAAGGGTAAAGATGCATCCAATTCAAGATTGCTTGAAATCGGGGAAGATATTGCCACAATTGCTAAAATATTTGTGGAAAAGCATTCTTCTTCGAATTTGGATGCGTGTATGGAAAAATTGGAGAAGTTAGGATGGGGAATATTTGATCCAAGATACACTACTGTTGTTGCTCTTTTTGGTGAAGGTGCGGATAAGAGGCACGTGTGGTTAACCATTGATCCAGCTATTTGTGAGAATTTGGTCAAGACTGTTGGAGCACATTATGGAATGTTTCGCTAAGTAGATTTTTTTGAATGCTTTGATGGGTTTTTTTTTGGATAACTAGATTTTTGGTTTGCACTAGATGGTTTTTTTTGGATTACTTGACATGAATGACTTTGATGTTTTGGATTACCTGCTATTTTGGATTACTAGATTTTTATATGATATGAATGACTTGATGTTTTGGATGAATTTTTATGTTGTATGTTTTTAATATAATTGTTATGTATTTTCAAAATAACAGATTGCTTATGGATTCGGATGAGGAAATTGCATATGTTGCTATTGGTTAAATCTAGCATCCAACAGAATTGGAAGGGCAATTGATAATGATTCGGAAATGAGCGGTCATCAACATACACAATGTTATGAGCTGATGCGTCTTTCACGTGAAGCATATGTACTTTTATGCAATCATTTTAAATGAAACGATTGGTTGGAAAGTAGTAGGCATATAAGCTTTGAAGAAAAGATGGTTATGTTCTTGACAACTATAACACATAATTAACGGTTCAGGATTATCAAACGAAGGTTTCAACACTCCACAGAAACACTTCATAGATGCTTTCACGAGGTGCTAAATGCAATGATGATTTTTGCAAAAGAAGTTATAGTGCCAACGAATTCTAATGCAACCGTGAATTCCTCATAGAGGCATCGTAAGCTAAAAGAAATCTTTCCTGGAGCAATAGGTGCGTTAGATGGAACTCTTGTACATGCAGTCGTACCTGCTGATCAACAAACTCGTTATAGGGGAAGAAGAAAAGGTGAATGCTTTCAAAATGTTTTAGGAATTTGTGATTTTGATATGATCAATTCACATTCGTATGGGCCGGTTGGGAGGGTATACATTCGCGAGTTTTGAAAGAAGTAGCATGTAACCCGACTTCAGGCTTTCCGTTCCCTCCTCCAGGTTTTTAATTCTTTTAAAATTTATTCTAAAATACGATTTTAAACTTCTATATATAATACTTACTTCACTCATGTGTATAGATAGATATTACCTTTGCGATGCTGCATACACCAACACTCGTGGATTTATGACTCCTTACCGCAACACAAGGTATTGGTTAGCCGATTATCGACGGCGACGTGCATTAACTAAGGAGGAAAAATTCAATCACGCACATGCGCAACTCAGAAATGTTATTGAACGTGCTTACGGTGTTTTAAAGGCGAGATTTCCAATCCTAAAACGAATGGCTCCTTTTCCTTTTTCAGTGCAAAGAGATATAGCCATTGCTTGTTTTGCAATCCACAATTTCATAAGGAAATGCGATATTCATGATGAGTTATTTATGGCGTTCAAGGAGAACAATGTTCAAGCACAAGGGGGAGAGAATGATGGCGAAAGCGTACACGATATGGAATGGGGTTCACAAGGAAATGAATACATGAATAATTTGCGTGACCAGATTGTAAATCAATTGGGGTGAAATTAAATTTGTAAGATTTAATTTGGATTTTAGTATGATTTTGTGGATTTAAAAATATTTAAGTTTGATTTGGATTTGTGTTTAATTTTGATTTATGCTAAATTTGGATTTTATATGGTTTTTATATATTTTTTAATACATATTTAAGAAATTTATTAGGTTATTTTCTAAATAAACAGTTGAATTCAATAAAAATTAAAACAGAAGGGTAAAATTGTCATTTTAATAATTCAGCACAACAATTCAGAGGTTCCAACCAAACAGCATGTTAAACATTCAGCTCTTAAAATTTCAGACCCTCTTAAAAATTCAAACCTCTTATAAATTCAGATCTTAAAAATTCAGATCCTATCAAACAGTCCATTAGTGTTAAGCACTTTTTGGCCATGCAAGACCATAAGGTCGGAAACTTTATGGTCAAGGACATCATTTGGGGCTTGGATCTGACTTTGGACGTAAGGACTTCGTGTATTAAGCTCTTAATGAGAAGAAGGGATGACCAGGTGCGTACGGTCAAGGGCCCAACTTCTAGGGCTTGCTGATGATCCAGAGACTTTTGCTGAGTTGAAGGTGAAGGAAATCAAGAATGGAAGACTTGCTATGTTCTCCATGTTTGGGTTCTTTGTTCAAGCCATTGTTACAGGAAAGGGACCATTGGAGAACCTTGCTGATCCCGTTGCCAACAATGCTTGGTCTTATGCCACAAACTTCGTACCCGGAAAGTGAATATAATGAAATTTTTATGTAAATTAATTAATTAATATATGGTTTTAGTCGCAGCATTTACTGATTTAATCTACCAATTGATTGATGATATAAACTAATATATATGCAACAAGTTAACGTATAACATATGTACACCCTACTGTCTGTGTGACATGTGTCATTTTGTTCAATATAAACAACATAAAATGCAATCGTCAGTGATCTATATATATCAAGGATTATACAGTATTAAAAAATGAAAATCAAGGATTTTGGTTCTTAATATCAATGATGAATTTGTGAGATTATTAGTGAGGAAGAAGCTTAAATGGCTTCTGAAAAACGTAAATCAGCAGGTCCAGGACCTAAAATCCCTTTCTGTTCAGTTATCTTCCCCAAGCTGAAAGTTGATTCAGAATGTGATGCTCCAATTTTCTCTTCATCCCTCCACACACTACCCTGCCACTCCCTCTGAAACAAAATAAACAAAAAACCAACTCTGTAATTTATTCAAACATCAAGGGTCAAAGATGGAATAACTTGCCTCATCAAGGATTTGGGTTCCATGATCATGCAATAATGGGGTCATAAGTGGAGGGGCAACATCCGGATCAGGCTTTTGAAATATGAATGTAGTATATAAACCTGCATAACAGGTTTTAGGTATGAGTAGTGAGGGTAGTTTTGGGAAACTATTTATAAGATGAAAGGACAATGAAACTGACACAAAACCTAGTACATCATAGAATTTTGGTAAGAGCCTCGCTCTGGGGTCCACAAGACCATGACCGGCTTCTAGAAGCATCCCGGAAAACTGCGCTCTGATATAACAAAGTATAATGTAAAAATCACAACATTGAACATTTGAAGAAAAAAAAAACCACACTCCCAAATCCCACCTGTTATCATCATAAAATTCCAGCAAGTTTTGTATCTCCACATATTCAAGACCAGCTTCTCTTGCCAGTCTGAAAAAAAAATGTCATAAACAATAATTAGAAAAAGTTTTAATAAAAACAATAAAAGATGAAATGAAATGCCAAAATCTTAACCTGATCAAGCTTGGGAAATGTACCAGACAATGTGTTTCAGCAGACGTGTCATTTGCAATTTTCATCTGGTACTTTTTCCCAAAAAAAGGAAACCTGAAAAATTAAACCATATAATAAAGATAAGTTCAGACGTTTGATTACATTTTATAAGAAAATACAGCATGTTGGGTGGTTTTATTATACTTTTCTTCTTCAACTTCAAAAGTGATCATATAGTTTTCTGATCGAATGCAATTGGGAACAAGGTTGGGTTTCATGGCACCACTTCGGTTGTGGTAAGCTTCAACATTTTTCTGATACTTTGCCCTGCAATGCAATCCAATTATTCAAAATGAAAGCAAGAAAAATGATGCTATAAATAAATTCTGACAAAATGACTCCCAAAAACATGGTAGCCTACCATATAGTAGATGAGTCCAGAGTAATACCGATTAAGTAACCCCCTGGTTTCAATAAAGATGACACATTATGCAGAAGTCTTCTTACTTTCTCTTCACTTTCAAAACAGAACTGCAGTATATAACACAAGTTTACTTTATATGTTCGATATGAGAGGGAGAGTTCGATATTAACACAAACAATGGAGTTTAACCTGTAAATGTTGCATGCAACAAACAATATCAGCTGTATTTCCCTTGTCCCCCAAATTCGGTTCCAAGTTTTCCTGAAGAAGGTCAACATCCATCAGTGGACAAACTACAAAATCTAAGAAATGCTTAAATGAGTACCTATCTTTAATAACGCATGAAGTAGGCAAAATATATGCAATTACATGATAACAGGACTCACAATGCAGGGATCAAGCTCATAAAAGTCTGAAGTGTAAGTCTTTCGTTGACTCTCCCATACTTCTCGGACTTCTCTAACTCCAGATGATGCTTCATCTGTAAGCATAATAACTCAATTTGTTCAAGATATGTGATTATGTTCTGATTTTGTTTTATTTTTTACTTCAATTTTGTCATACATCTCCAGAAATATGAAATTAAAATCTTCTAAAAAGATTCGTTCAACCATAAACCCTATCTAAGATTTTTAAGACGAAGGACTGAACAAATTCATACACGTAGGAAAACTGAATCGATCACTAACAGATAGGAACGTCTTTGATTGTATGTGAAATTACCAATTCCGATGAAATGACCTATTTGAGCTTCGTCCCATCTCTCTTCGTCTGGTACTCTTCCGCAATACAAATCACACACCTGAAGAACAAACCAATTTTAATGAATTGCGGAAACGGCATGAATATGCATATGAACAAAAACATATAGATACAAAGAGAGTATTTGAGTAGAGATTACAGACAGTGGCGTAGGGAGAGACAAAAATCTTGATAAGAGCAGTCTTAACTACTTCGAGTAGTCGATGGTGAGTTGAATCAGCGATCCTGTTGTTGTGCGTTGGGATTGTTGGAGTCAGCATCGTCTTCTTCCCCTAAAACCCTACACTCGTTTGGGAAGAATAAACGGTGAGTTCGTTAAGCCAGAAGATGTAAGCGCGAGTTTCAAAACAAAAAATGGTACCGGTTTGGAGGAAGAGCAGGGTTGGGGAAAATCCTCACCAACAATTAACAAATCCGAATAATGGAAATGGAGTAAATCTGCTCTTAATCCAAACGGTACCATTTCTTGGTTTATGTGTAACATCAGTTCTCAAGTTTAACCAATTATGTGTCTCCAACCGGGTAAATCACCTGCTATGGGGGGTTAGCGGTGGCTATTTGGTTCGCAGATAGTGTGAAAGTGACATTTATTTTGCATTATTATGTTTACAAAGAAAGTGAAAAATATGTTAAATAATTGAAATCTATCATGAATTGGAATTACTAAAATATGCTAAATAATTGAAATCTATCAATTCGAATTTCAATTTTAGTTTGTTTGGTTGATATGGAATGAAGTTGATATTCATTTTAATAATTTGTTTAATTGAAATGAAATAGAATTTGAGTCATGTAAAATATCAAAATTGTCTTTTTTTATGTTTTTTGTTTAATTTTATTTTGTTTTATAAGTTATATGGTGGTGGTGGTGATGGTGGGTAGTGGCGGTCGCGGTGGTGGTAATATTGGTTGTGGTGGAGATGGTGGTTTGTGGTGGGTGGTGGTGGTGGTGAGTAATGGTGGTTGTATCAGTGGCAGTGATGATGGTGAATGTGGTAATGATGTTGGCGGTAGTGTCAGCCCGACCCAATGAATGGGGCAACCTGGGCTACTGCCCAGGGCTCACATATGTCTGGGGCATAATTTTATAACTGTTAATATTTATATATTAATTTATATGTTAAAATTTACATTGAAAATGGTTGTAGATCACATGTTAACTTGCGTCCTTGCATTCCGGTTACCTGTGGTTCGAATCTCAGCATCCTTTTTTTTTTTGCTTTATTTTGGACGGAATCGTTATCTCATTTCAATTAAAAATTTACATCTTTTGCCTCTGAACTATACAACTTGTTTCATATTCTACACTAGTTTTCATTTTCATAATTTACATAACACTTACTAAAATCCACATTTACCCCCTTTCGTTTCCTATTTTGCATTTATTCCAATTTTGTAATTTTTTTCATTTTGGTTATTCATCATGACATTTAACCCTTTGAATTAATTTAAATATCAAAAAAACTTCAATAATACCTTATTCTATCATATGCAGTTAATGAATTTTAATTATTTATAATTACATATAATATTTAATGGAACATTCTCTTCTTTTTAATACCGATCCATTATTAGATGAGTGTATTATTAAAATCTCAATGTTTTCAGTTAGATAAATATATCATTCTTTTATTTTATTTCCCCAGCCATTTATATATATTTTTTGTATTTCCAAACATTTAGATGTTTATTAAATAATATTTAAAGTTACATACTAAAGCCATAGTTTCTAATAATATCAACTAAAATATACATCAACTTTATACAAATTCTTTCCTATATTTTTTTTAAATTATGTTTTAAGTAAGACTATATTTAAATAATGATATTATGCAATACATCTTATCTAATTTAGTTGGGTAATGGCCTTAATTCATTAAAATGTTTGGGTTCATGTTTGTCATTGACACTTGTTTTTTAAAAGTTAGTTTAAATTTATCGGAATTAGTTTATATATAAATCTTTTTTCAAATAACCATAATAAATTTGTTGTAGAGTCGGTTAAAAAACTTAGGTATCTAGTTCATATCTTAATAGTAAATTTTTTATAACATTTAAACTAAATTTTATGGTTGTATGGATTTCTAGTAATTAGGGGCCTCTTTTTTATTTTTGCCCCAGGCCCAAAAATTGTTTGGGACGGCCGTGGGTAGTGTGATGGGTGGTGACGTTGGTAGTAGTTTGGTGGGTGTTTGTGGTGATAAGGTAGAGGGTAATATGGTAATCTTGCTCTTAACCAAAGATGTTTTGATATCACCATAGGACCTACACATCGTCCCAAGTTCAATAATTCTTAATTTAATCATATTCGTCCCCCGATCTTTCTTTTGCTATACCTTTAGATAACTTGGTACACTTGCTTGAGGTGTATAGGAGTCCCTAGTTAACTATTTTGTAAATTTAGAACCTAAATATAAATAACACATCATATTTCATCGTTTTATATTTTATGTGTCCTAATCTAAGAAGACATAAATTAAAATATGAACATTCTATACTACAGCTTGAAGAAAATAAAGACATAATGAAATAAATATATATAGCATTTTCATTGATATAATATGTTTATCATTCTATCACAACTTTATACCATTTTTATATAGTTTGAATCCATAAACTTTTTTTTTCTAATACTAGGAACATGAAGAACATCCTTGAGTGCAACTTTCTTCCAAAATAATATTTTGTAAATGTTTTTGAATCTGACCTAAAGAAAAGCTTGCATAACTATGCATCAACTACTTTGCGTAATTCCTCTAAAATGGTGTTAAGTTGGTAATGATAGCCCTGCTGATAAACTTTTCAGAAATTTCAACAGTTGGATTCTTAAATTTAAAGACACGAATCATAAACTCATGAACTTGATCCATGAATGACACGATATCTTTCATGTTAAATTCAAATAACTTAAAAGTAATGAACTTATCACAGCGTGACAGCTGGTTTGACCCAAGCCCATGATCTTTTAGAGTTTCATTTGTATTTAAAACCTCATTAGCTTGAATCTAGGGTTTTTTTATCAGCCCCTATCACCCTTAAATCCCAGAAAACCCTAACCCTAAACCCTATTGGTAATTATTGGCTTATTTTGGTGCTTTTGGTGGCTTGAAGAAGAAAAAGGAGAAGGTGTCTAGTGTGTTGATTCAATAATCAAACATCATCATCGACATCTAGAGCATTATTTGGACTCTTGCAAGTGATTAAGTTCCCATCTTTTGGTGCTTTTCATAAGGTTTATGTCATATGTGGTCTCTTTCATAAGGTTTGTATGGTTGGAAGATATAAAGGTTGTAACTTTATGGCTTCTCTAAGTCGCAATAGTATTTTATCTTATAAATATAGGAAGTGATGGTGATTTAGGAACCTTGCATGAAATCTAAGTCATATTGCATCTTTTGATATAGATTTAGGAAAAGACATTCTTGGGGTATACATGTCCATAAACTTTACATTTTAGGGTTCATTAGGATCCCTAAAGTGTTTATGGAAGTTTTAAGTTGAAGATTATTTAGATTAAGCACTTAATGATCTAATCTCGTGCTTAAAGTTACCTTTTTGGACATTGGTATTTGGATCTAGACTTAAAGGGTATGTCGGACAAAGTTGGAAACTTTATATATTAAGACCTTGGAAAGGACCAAATATGAGATTTTGGAACTCCTAAAGACGGAAGAAATCAAATTAAGCTCGATTAAGCTATTCATACCAATCCCCACAGGGTGACCTTAGGTTGCCACGATGTGGCGACTATGGAATCATCAATTGTTTTGACATTTTGTGCTCACGACGTGGCTAAGGAAGGCCACAAAGTGGAGGGACACTGTTGGTTATTTTGACTTTATCTTTGACCGTTAACTTCTTTCTTGGGTTGACTTTAGTCTCGATGGCTGGTTTTAGTGTGTAGATTAAGGTTGGACCTAGTATGTTTCTAGTTGGTTTTGCGAGTCAGATGAGTCTTCTCACTATATTGTATATGATGTTGGTTGTATTTTTGATGCTTGCATTGTACGTTGGGATGGACCCATCAACATGCTCATTGGGTTGGGTCCATTAGTATGCATGTTGGGTTGGGCCTATTTATATGATGGGATGAGCCCATTGATATGTGGGGTTGGGCCCTTTATCATGGGATGTGCCTAATGTGCGGGTTGGGTCCGTTGATACGTATTATATGTGGTATTTTTGTGACCCACTAAGCTTTGTGCTTATGGTTTGTGGTTTAAACATTTTTCAGGTACTTCCAGTTTCAGAGGAAAGGACTTGACGTGATCGCACTACATCCCCCAAAGTTTATTCAACACTGGCTAGTTGTGATTTTTACTCAAAGGTTTTGAGAAAATTAATAGTTTTACTATATTTCGGAGTAAAATGAATGGATGGATAAAATGAAAATTTTACTTGGTATAGTTGGGACATTACAATATATAGGCATGCATAATATTTATTTAAATTTGTGTATGTGTAATATTTCTATATATGTATGTATAATATTTATTTAAAAGCGCATATGTGTAATGTTTTCTATAAATACGTGTATAATATTTATATAATCTTATTTATTTAATATTATTGTAATGAAAAAAGGATAAATTATATATTTGTTAAAAAATAATTGGTAGAAGGAGTGTGTTTGCCAATTAAGTTAGTTGCAAAATGAAATATACTAGGGGCGAGCAACGAAAAAGTGCACCTGCAAAACCATCTATAACAATTCTGGTTCCAGTTTCTTAAATTTTGGAACTGCTTTAAGCCGTTCCAGTTCTAGTTTTTATTTTTTCGAAACCGTTACCCGTTGGGTATAACCCAAACTGGCTGCATACATAATATGATTGTTGTAAATTTTAAGTTATACTTTTAAGTTATACTTTTTTCTCAACTAAAAAAAAACTAGAAAATGCTCGTATAAAAACATATTTCATTTGTTACGGTGGGTAATCTTTATATTATTAAGATGGTAAAGAAATGTGTCATATGTAAATGTGAATGTGGGATAAACGACTAACAAGAGGCAGCCAACGTTTATAATATTGATATAACAAAACGTGGCCAAAAATTATCCCACAACGCTTGTTGGGATAAGTGAATTTGAATCAAATGAAGCTACAAAATATAGAGAGAAAATTACAAAAATTAACCTAATCCTTTAATTATTTTGTGAAAAATTGCAAAAAAAATAAATCCAAATTAAAAAATAGCCATCAAAATCGCAAATAAACTTAGTCCATCTATAAATTTACTTGTCCATCTGTGATTTCTCTTTTTTCAGGGGTATAAAATCGTATTTTTTTTTCTTTCATTTTTCAATTTTTTTTTTGGAGAACTCTCTCTAAAGACACTATAGACAATTTCATTTTTCAAATATTTTTCAAAGTTTTTGTTGGATAATTCATTTTATTAGAGAGATTTTAAATAAATATTCCAAAGAAATAAGAACTAAATTGATAATTTTTTGCAAAATTTTATATATAATATGGTAGTTTCGTAGTTAAACCTATCAAATTTATAGTGAAAATTAAAAAATAAATAAATAAAACGCAAAATCGTAGGTTGGACGAGAGGAAATCGCAGATGAACTTAGTTTATCTGCGATTTTAATCAGAGATAGAGATATTTATACGGAAAAAACCAAAAAAACTAAAAAGACCACATGCAAACGTACAAGTCGCTAAGTACAACTGTGTTTTAACAACTTGTACGTTCGCAGATGGAATACTAAAATCGCATATGGGTTTAATCCATCTGCGATTTTCATGGCTATATTTATAATTTGGGTTTTTTTTTTTTTTTTAATTTTTTTTTTACTATTTTTCACAAAGTAATTAATGAATTTGACTATATTTACAATTTTCTCAAAAATAGATTATTATCACGTTGTTGATAATTGAGCAACCTATCTCACATCTGTTTTGTGATAATGTAAATGGGAGGGACGTCATTATAAATTGTGAGGTCTCTTGTTAGATAATTCTTACAAATATTATGATCATTGTTTTAAAATAGTTGAAAGGTTTTAGCAACAAGATACAACATTTTAGTAACCATGAGTTGCGGTTTCACTGGATTTTGATGGGATCCACCTAAGTTAACCCTAAAATATAATAAAAAATATATTAAGGTGGTAGATGAAATACCATTTACTTAGGACGGTAAACGAACTGAACGTTCGGTGAACCGTTCGTGAACTGTTCGGCGGGAAGTTCGTTTATGTTCGTTTATTTAATAAATGAACGAACATGAACAAAAATTATCGTTCGTTTAGTTAAATGAACGAACATGAACAATGGTCTCATTCGTTCATTTATGTTCGTGAACGTTCGTTTACGATGTTCATTTATGTTCGTTTATGTTCGTTCGTTTAAGTTTATTTATATTCATGTATATTCAATTACTTTTTACTATATTGTTATATTATATGTTCGTTTATGTTCATATATGTTTAATTGTGTTTTTTTATCTTTGTTCGTTTATGTTCGTTTAGCATGTTCACGAACATAAATGAACGAACATGAACAAAATAATTTGTTAAGCGAACGAACATGAACAAGAAAATCTCGTTCGTTTATCCGTTCGTGTTCGTTTGTTGTTCGGCTAACTTAAACGAACGAAATGAACAAGACCTTGTTCGTGTTCGTTTGGTTCGTTTACAGCCCTACGTTTACTTAATTTTTTTTGAAAAAAAATGAAGATGGATTGTTAATGATCTAAAAAACCCTACAAAAGCTTTTTCATCCACCAATACTACGATAAAAAGAATGAGTGACACAAACATTAGGCAAAATAATTGCTATGTTCAAAACTGAACTTTAATAACGATCTCCATCTGATCAAAAACTTGAATTTTATACTTTTTTGGGTAATGGACTAACGGTACAATTGAATTCGGCCCAAACTCTCGATGCCACGAGCCCACAAGCACAAATCTTGATAGCAAATTGGCAATTTTCAATTACTCCTGTTTCTGGGCCTTTTATAATAGCTACCAGCCCACCCACGTCAATGTTATGCAAAACTTATAAACCCTAGAACTATATCTGTCGTATCGTGTTTAAGAAGCGCGGCGGAGGCAAAGGTAAACCTAAGAGAAGATCAGAAGAAGTGGAAATGGTGAAGTTTTTGAAACCAAACAAGGCTGTCGTTGTTCTCAACGGCCGTTTCGCTGGTCGGAAGGCCGTGATTGTAAAACAGTTCGATGACGGAACTCGTGACCGTCCCTACGGTCACTGCCTGGTCGCCGGAATCGCCAAATATCCGAAGAAGGTGATTCGTAAAGACTCAGCAAAGAAGACTGCGAAGAAGTCGCGTGTGAAGGCATTTATCAAGCTAGTGAACTACAACCACATAATGCCGACGAGGTACACTCTCGACGTCGATCTCAAGGATGTCGTCTCGGTCGATGCTCTCCAATCGCGCGACAAGAAGGTTACAGCTTGCAAAGAGACCAAAGCAAGGCTAGAGGAGCGGTTCAAGACCGGGAAAAACCGTTGGTTCTTCTCGAAGCTCCGATTCTGAGTTGTTTTTCGTGTCAGGTTTTGTTACGTTTTTCCCAATCTTTAGTTGATGAATGTTGATGATGATAGACTAATTAATGCTAGTTTACTTGTATCGATTTTTGGTTGCAAATCAAGATACGTTTCAAGGATTAGTTGTTTGAACCTCATGGTTGTTTGTTGGGTTGGTTATCGATATGATTTTGTTCCTTTCATCGTATAATTGCTGTTTAATATTTATATCCACACCATTCATCATGAATGGAGTACTTTCAGCTGATAAATACAAATCGATGTGATTGCATTTGAATAGTCTTTAATCAGATTAGCTTAGAAGTGTATTTTTTATTAATCTCAGACACTGTAGGCGTCGAATTCGTTCTCATGACTATACTGACAATATCGATTTGGACCATATGATTTGAATTCATCGTGTTCCATCGATTTTCAATGCAGAAGATGATTGTTTTATCGTTGTATTAGTATTTCATCCCACGAATTAAACTAGTTAGTGAGATCGAAGTAAAGCCTAGTGTTGAAATATGAAAGATCATTTGTTTACAAATGCAGTTAGAAGGTTAGAAATTTTAAGTATATTAAATTAATTTATTAGATTGGGAATTGTATTAGGTATGAACCGAGATATTTGGATCTATGAACTTGCTCAAATGATTATAAAAAGAGTGGAATAACAGCAAATGATTCATCATACAAGATAACTAAAGAAAAATGATATTTGTGAAAATTTTCCGTTCTTGTTCATCTTCATCATTCAATCAAAGGATATGAGCTGAAACTTAGGATGTCCATTTGATGAACAATATTCCTTTTATTAGCACTTTGTTAAAGTTTTATATAACCAAGTTCAAACAATTAATTCATTGTTTCTTAAATAGTAAAATCGTCAAAATATAGTTTACATATTATTATCTGTTACATTTTCTAAATTTTCTTTGTTTTTTTTACAAACATTAACTTTAATCAAAAGTAATTTATTTACATTTTTACATGTATAAACGATTTAAAGTTTTATAGAATCAAGATATCATATTTAGTTTGTATTATCAGGACACCCCACTTATTAAATATGACTTATGATTCTTCTTATAAAACAAGACCAAAGGCTAAGATTAAGTTTGAAGATGATATATATGTATAGTCTTTCTCCTATACCAAATTTATGTCGTTTAAAAGCATCTTTCGGTACCTTGGTCTATCTCATAAACCAAAGTTAAAGTTTAATATCAAATAAGTCAAAAAGTTAACATTCTAAGCTACTCTTGAAATTAACAAAAATGACAAGACCAAGTTTAAAAATTATAACTGCCTTTTATAATTGCTCTTAATGTTATTTTGGATTTTTGATCTTGTAAACATAGCTTTTAGTCCATATTTATGAACATTTTTTTTTTAAATTTATTTTGAATTCTCTTAACATGTTTAATTGTAATTTTCTTGTGATTGATTTTTTTTCAGAGAAACACAATTTTTTTTCCAAAAAATGCTCCACATATTTCATTGATTTTTTGGTTTGACTCATAATCTTTGTTGGTGTTTATAATGGTTTTAATAGAGAATCAGTTGCATTTTTGCTTGTTAATTTAGAATTTGAAGTTTTTGCATTGCAAACTTGAATGAAATTGTATAACAAATGATCTAGTGTGATCTAATTTGGAAACTAATGGTTCAACATCTACTAATTTTGAGACTGGAAGGTTCTACATTAACAGAAGTGCCTGTGTGTTAACTTGAAAATGAAATGTAATGTCTTATTATATGAGTATTGATATGAGTATTGATGAGAAAAAAGAGTATCAAAGAAATCCAATGATCGTATTATAGGTCAATTTACATCAAAGATACATTAATATTTAAAACATATATTGGAATTTAAGAGTTGTCTTTCTATTTGATTATGAATACAATCTAAAATATCTTGCTAGCATAGATCATTTTTCACCACCCGCAACAATCTTTGAAAATCTTGCAAATAGAATTTGATGCTCACTTACCAACAAAAGTTGGACACAACATTTCTCCTTGTTCCAAAAATGATATGATGTTTCTTTCAAAATTTAATGTTGAAAACCACAATAAACAACTACTAAAAAAGAGAAAATTGAGCTAAAACGAAATAGTAGTTTGCTAAATATAAATGTTTTTTTTTTTTGAAGAAAAAAAGTTAGGTTTTTAATTTTTTTTTCCCAATTACTAGTAAATTTGGGAAAATTTTAGGGGTTTAAAAAATACCATATAAAACAATTTAAACACTTATATTTTTTTAATTTAACTTTTATACTATGTAAACTAATAAAAAAATCTTAAATTGTTCTAAACAGTTATGTATAATCTTAGATTTTATTATTCTATAAACAAAAGACGATCACAAATCTTATGATCCGATTAGAACTCTAAAATCCTGACTTAATATGAGCTTATTATATATTCAAATTTCAAAAATTCATTTATTTAACTTAAAAATCGAGCATAATAGGTCACATGAAATATAACAGAGCATCGTCAAATTATCCGTTCTTATAGAATTAAGTAGAATATCATGATTAATTATACATGATAATTTTTATTATCGTTCTTTGTTTCTTTTTTTCACTTAAAATGTTCTATTTCTAAACTATGTTTCTTAACATAATACTAACATAGATAATTAGATACTAAACAAACAAAACTTTACAAACAAATAAAAAAACAAGTTTATTTTGAATTTTTGATAGGATCTCCCAAGTTCAATCTTATAGTTACAATCTTACTTACAAAACATAAAAGATCCTTGTGTCACAAACTTATTCAAAAACATCGTTGATATACGAAGGGATCGGTGTGAACATATGGTTTTAATCCCATTTAAATCGATTAGTCCAAACAATTGGGCCTTGAAACCTACTTTAGGCGCACATCTCCATGTCTCATCGTTTATAACTTTCACGAGCCTAACATAACGGTTGGATCGCACGCGCTTCGACGATCCGCTTAAGTTGACTGTTTGCTTGCAGTTTGCACTGATTTCGCACCGGCTTTGCGACAAAAATGGCGGACAAAGAAACTTCGATTGTGCTCAAACACGACGACGAATCGAACCGGCCTCCGAATCCTTTTTCTCTGCTGTTCACCAAGTTTACTCAGGTTTTTAATTTCCCTTCTCGACCACAGCCGCCGGAGAAGAAAGAGTTGGCGAAGGTGGAAACAGAGAAGAAAGCGATAGTTCGTGACGGTGAAGTGGTGGGGGAAAGTAAATCGGCTACGGTTACGTATCCGGATGGCCGTTCGAAGACCGTTACTTCGTTGAAGCTTGAATCGGAAGATGCGGTTCAAGAAACGAGTCCTGCTGTTCTTTGGCAGGTTTGTATCTATCTGTATATCTATCCTCGTTTTCTGAACCCTATATGCCTGATTTTGCTATTTTAGTCCTGAATATTCTCGGAGTTATTTTCTATCAATTCTCGTTGATTGAATATATTTCACACTATCGGATCACGAAATCGAAGCTCCTTAATTCTCTCTCTCTCTCTCTCAGTCTCATCGTTTTCATTGTAACCACGAAATCCCTACTCCTAAAATCTTGGTACTTTAATTGTAAAGTTTGGTCCTTTTTCTAATTTGGGCTCATTATCTGTCGATTTCTTGTTGATGATTATGTAATTGAATTGAATTTGTGTTGTATTTTATGTTGATAATCAGTAGGAGAAGGAATCTAGGAATTGTGATCTTATGTTGAGTGATATTTGGGGCAAATAAGTTAACTACACTAGTACAGATTGGCTGGATAAAATCGATTCTAGTTTATAGGTCTTGGTTTGCTCACAGTACCAGTTGGCAATTGGTAGGTCATTTAAGTCCAGCTGGTGGATAGATCATAGATGTTGATGTTGAAGGTTCCCTTAAATTTTAGAACACTTATCATATCCTCACTAAAGGGCTAAGGGCTCCATCCCATGTAAAACTAAAACATTTTCTTTTTGGCTTATATGGCTAGAATTTTCAATTTTAATCCATATATTATTTATGAATTATGAATTGTTACTAAAAATTATGAAATATCTATTCCGGTTGGTGTTTGGTTTTAGGTTTATGCAATTGGAGGTTTCTTTGTGTTGAGGTGGGCGATTGGACGATGGAAAGAGGGCAGGGCAAGGAAGAAGCCATCTGAATCTGATGATGTCCCACCACCACCCACACCCACACCCAATGATGATTAGTAGTGCCTATGAAATATGGTTAAAGATTCCATCTTTTTACATATGTCGTATATTAATTCAAATACTCTGTTTAAATCTGAGAATTACTTTGAATATACAGTTTCCAACTTCTTTTCTTTACCACTTGCAACCTTCTTTCTTTTTGTTTCTCTTAGTACAAATAGCATCTGTTTCGTTTGATTTGGTCAAAACAGATTGCACACCATTTGTATTGAGATCTCAGACTGAGACTGATTGACTAACTACTGATTGAGACTGATGTCAGTGGTACAAAAATTACAATTTTTTGCTATCGGTCCATGGTTGGATTTTGAAAACAAGTCGGGGTGTGACTAAATACTTTTCCTTGATTTGTTACAAGAAAAAAGGCTATAAAAACACATATAACATGATCCTTTTGTTTGCCAATTGATTTTGCATTTCACAAAACTTGATCATGGTTATGAGCCAACAACTTTACCATTCATAAATGCTACATTCGGTTGACAGTTGCATTCTTACACGTTTTTAAATCTGAAACTCTAATTAAGGATTTTTACTTTCGTACCACTAGGGCAAACATGTAGGGATAAAAATATGTAGCTTTGTTCTCATTTTTGATTAGTAAACTTTTGGTTTTGTGTTTATTTTGTCATTTAACTTGTTTTAAGATTTTAAAGGTTACCAAACTTTTGGTTTTGTGTTCGTTTGGTCATCTAACTTTTGGTTTGGTCGCTTAGGTTTTGGCTTTTTGTGCTCATTTAGTTATTTAACTTTTAAAAGTTGTACTCATTTTATAACTTTATTTTAAAAGTTTAGTGACTAAATGAACATAATTTTAAAAGTTAGATGACTAAATGAACGCAAAGTCAAAAGTTAAGTAATCAAACAAAAAAAATGGTGACTAAATGAACACAAAACAAAAAATTCAATGACGTTTTAAAACTTAAAATGAGTTAAGTAACTAAACGAGCACAAAACCAAAAGTTAAATGACTAAAAATGACTTAAACTCTTATTTTATTTTCAAAGTTTATTGACTTTTCAACATAGATGTAACTTTCGATGCCAAATGTTAAATGTTACGCTTTTTAAAATCTTAGGGCCTTAGGGGTTATAATCAATATTCATTTCAAAATTGTAAATCTTAGGGCCTTAGGGGTTATAATCAATATTCATTTCAAAATTGTATAATTGTTTTGTTTCATACGTAATTGATTGATATAATTATTGTTTTTAAACTATTATTGTACACATGTTTTTGAAGATAGTTTAACAAAGTCGGATTGTATTAATCGAAATAAGGGTTGGTCACTAAGAAAGACTAGGGTTAAAACCTTTGAATTTTTAAACTTGACCTGGCATACATATCTCACGTCGTGAGTAGGGTTAAAACCTTTGAATTTTTAAACTTGACAGTTGCTCACTTAAACTGAATGTTACATGTGCGAAACTTGCAACTCTGACTCTCATTTATCTGTTCTGAAACCTACAACTCAACACCCCCCCCCCCCCCCCCCCCCAAATCATCTTTTATGTCCATCTAATTTTAACCCTTGTGCAAAGAAGTTGACAAACCTCATATGTAACGCCTTATTTCTGGTAAGATTTTATTTCAAGTATTGCATTTTTTTCCTGAAGAACTCATCGAGTTGGATGCCCCAACTCAACATGTTGAAGTTGTTTTGGCAGCGGGGTTTTATGAGACAACTCGACGAGTTGAGGAGTCTAAACTCGGCGAGTTGACCGCTTAGGAGGAAACCCTAACTTTAGGGTTTTGCACCATATTTAAACACCTTAAGTCTCATGTGTTGGCCTCTTTTCCAGCCTCCAAAGTCCTTAGCCCTAATCTCAAAAACCTAAAACCTTTTTTAGTATTGAGAGCCCTTCAAGAGTGTATTTTGGTGTGTTTGAAGCCCTTGGAAGAAATAGAAGCTTGGTGCAAGGTGGTGAATCAAGTTGGAGTCTTCAATATCTTGGTTCTTTGCATCATTTCCAACATATTTCTGGTATAAAGTTCTATCCTTGCTCAATTTTTGATTAGATCTCTTTTTGGGTTAGTTATGATGCTTCTAGCCATGTTTGGGTGATTGGTGGGGTTGAAGGTCGTCCCAAATGCTTTCCTTCCAGATCTATTATCCTCTTGAGCTCTTTTGGCATAAAGGTGCCAACTTTATGGTCTCAAGAGCTCCATGCATGCATTAAGTCCATTTTATGGTTTCTTTTGGACATTTTAGCCTCTTCTAAGTATACTTGATAGCAAAGTTGGAAACTTTACGTGTGTTTGCAGCCTTTAAGGACCAGATCTGTATTTTTGGGGCTTTATCTTAGTGAATAAGTGCTTATTGTTTAAACCTTAACATTTTAAGCTTAGGGCTTGGGTTCTTTACCCATTGGGATGGTTATTAAGGGTAACGTTGGAAACTTTTCCCTTTTAGTCGATATTTTAGTCCAAATTTGGGTGGTGGACCTTTTAGTTTTGAGAATCGTGACTTAATAGATTAAGAGGTTTGTTTCCTGAAGAACTCGACGAGTTCATAGGTGAACTCGGCGAGTTGGATCGACTTTTCCCGATTCTGCTGGCTAAAGGGGAAACTCAGCGAGTTGGACCGACTTTTCATGATTTTGTTTATTAATGAGGAACGTTGACTTTGAATTTGACCAAGTTTGACCTTTAAGGGGTTTCAAAATATTGATCGGTATCTAAGGGATTGTTTCTGTTTAGGGGCTGAGTAGAGCTGATTTTCGGGGCCGGTATTTATCCAGTTATCATTCAGCATTCGAGGTGAGTTTCCTTATCGGGTTTAGCAGGTCAAAGGCACCAAGACCGAACCATGATTATATTATGTTGTTAGTATGCTAGTTGTCTTTGTGACTCTTGCATGCGCTTGTATTATATATCTTCCGGGCTAAGGCTCGATGTCGGGTGGGGCCCGATGGATACCCGTATGATATGTATCTTTATGGTTATTGCATGTGTATGTGTTTATTTTGATATATGTTATGTATGTTGGGCGGGGGCCGTTTTACCGAGCTCAGCTCAATGTCGGGCGGGGTCCACTATATGCTTACTGTATGATTGTTATGTGGTATTTTGGGGGAAATCACTAAGCTTTGTGCTTACGGTTTTCAGTTTATGTTTCAGGTACTTCTGGTTCCAAGGGGAAGAGCTTGGGATGAGTGTATCACATACACCATTTGGGATTTTTCTTGTGATGTTTTACTCTGATTTATGACAAATTGATACATTGGTTTATTTCAAATGTTTAGATGATATGGGAAATTACTATTTTATCTATTATTAAAATTGAAAATTTTTAGGACCATATTTTTGGGTGTTACAAATTGGTATCAGAGCCGTGGTTTGAGGGATTCGGTGTGTATGAACTTAAAATAAGGACTTGGTAGGAATTTTAAAATGAAAACATTTTTATAAAAGAATTTCTAAAAGAGAAAAGGGTGTAGTGCGTGCAACCATGCCAGCTTAAGTAACTTATCCTAAAATACCCATGCATGTTTATATATGATATGAATTGTGAATTGTGAATCTCGTACTAGATTAGGGCTAAGGATCTAGGAGAGATGCCTTTGTATGCATGTTATATAAGCTTATAGATTTGCATGCTAGTACTGATCAGTCAGTGATAGGATAGTCTGATTAGGTTATGCTCAATTATGTTTACTTGATGCTCGAATGTTGTTTGCTTTGTGCTCTTAGGAGTTTTTGCTAAACTCAGCTAATTAGTAAGTGAATATGCTAAGTTACATATTATGAAAACTAAATAATTTCAGAAGGTAAGGTTTAGCTCTATTGCGCAGCTCTTGTTTGAGTCCAACCGTTGAAGGGAGAGACCTCTCATTCGAAGAATTATTTAGTCTTTATAATATATGATTGTATTCATGAGCTAGTTAAAGAAGGTTATCATGAGTTCCTTCGGCAGCTAATGACGGATAGTAGTGTGGAGTTTGCCTAAGGAAAGCCTAGGATGAGATTTAGTGCTGAGAGCCCTAGCTATGAGGGATCTGGTGGTTATAGAGTAACCTGGATGAGTGAAGGAAATTCTTGAGGAAAGTACAGGTAGATGTGGAAGGTAGTATGGGCCCGTAATACTGGAAGCAAAGGATTCGTACTCAATTCAAGGAGGGCTTTAATGAAGCCAGGGAGCTTGTGTAGTTATGATTTCCCCGATATGCGCATTGATGATTATTTTAATAGCTTTATGGTTTATTTTCAGTATGGTGGTATTGCGAGGCAGGCCAATGGGTAGTTCCGGTGTCGGGGAGGGTTTAGGCTCAGGTTCTGGAGTCAGACATCTTGATGACCAGACGAGGGGGTTCATCTCGTCTGAGATTACGAGTAGTATCATTGATCAGACTCCTATGATCTTTGGCACTGTCAAGGAGGGTATTCTGGAGATTCTTGATGAGAGATTGAGCACCTTTCGCGCTGGGATTGTGGCTTTGATTGGTACGCACTCTTTCACTTTTTGGGAGTTTCGGGCATCTGGAGGCCAGATTATCATGGGGCTAGTCATCCCATTGCGAGCAATAGGTGGTAAGCAAATGTTGCCAAAGCCTTCTGTACCAGTCGTTGTCCTAAGGGGGACAAGGTCAGAATAGTATCCTGCCGACTCAAGGACAAGGCTCGTGATTGGTGGGAGGAGGTTAGCATGTTGTATGAGGTGATGCTATTAATTTGATGACCTGGAGTGATTTCTCAACCAAGTTCCGAGCTGAGTTTGCACCGGTGATCGAGGTGCAGAAGTTGGCGTGAGAGTTTCAGGATCTCCGTCAAACTAGTGATACGGTGACTGAGATCATCACTATGTTCATGGAGAGGGCACTTCTGGTTCTGCGGTATGTGGCGGACGAGGAGGTAAAGAATGCCCGATATCACGAGATGTTGAGGAGCGATGTCCGACAGTTTGTGAGCTGATCCAGCTGCAATACGTTGGAAGACATGATAGCGAGGGCTAAGGAGAGGGAGATTGACATGGACATGGAGAGAAAGAGGAATCCAGATTCTGATATGAATGTTTAGGGGTCGGGAAAGAGGCCCAAGGTATCTGATTCTAGACATAGAGGCGAGCATGGTCGTAGCCGCGGTGGAAAGTGCGGCAAGTCGCACTAGGGAAAGTGTAGAGGTGTAACATCCCGAGATTTAGCAGGTATTCCTGAACCCTCTTCTAGCATTTCCTTGTCATTTAAAGTCATTGGGGTTGGAAGTGAAGATCCAAGATAGGTTTAAGGGCCAAGTTTGCAAACTTGGGCTAAGAGGGAGTACGCTAAGCGTACTAAGGTCCGCCTTAGTATGTTGGGCATACTAATGTCAGGGTGAAACCCTAATATTTAGGGTTTGGGGCCTATATAAGCAACATTATGAGCATCAA